CAGAAGAGAAAGTCTAGAATCTGGAAGGGATTGTCTTTGTTTATGGAGCTCCACACTCCCAATGCTAGTGAGGGTCAGTGGTTTGAGCCTTAGTTTCAAACAAAGGGGCTCAAAAAATGTTCACTGCAGTTTCAGCAACAGAAATTTTAAACAGGAGATTAAAAAGAGAGGTACAAGAAAGGTACAGAACCGACAAAGGATGAGTCTCCAAAATGCCATTTCTTTTTGGCATACAAGCATCTGAGCAGAGAAACCTTGAAATGCCATTGTAAAAATACCTGTTACAATATATGTGTCTTGACTGGGTTTGTTTTCTCTGTCAGTTAATGAATTAATAAGCAATTCGTGTGGCAGTTTCTCAGAAAACTGGGAATCAACCTACAACATGACCCAGGTATTCCAATGTTGAGCATTTACCCAATAATTCTCAATTATAATACCAAAAGGTCACTTCCTCAACTATGTTCATAGCAGCTTTATTTGTAGCAGCCAGAGCCTGGAAACAACCTAGATGTCTGTCTACCAAGGAATAGATAAAGAAAATGTGGTACATTTACACCATGGAGTATTACCCAGCAGTAAAAAAACAAAGACATCATGAAATTTGCAACCAAATGTATGGAACTTAAAAAAAAAAGAAAAGAAGAGAAGAGAAAAGAAAAGAAAATCATCCTGAGTGAGGTAACACAAACTGAGAAAGAAAAACATGGTATGTACTCACTAATAAGTGAATATTAGCTGTAAAACAAAGGATAACTATGCTACAATACACAGATGCAGAGAGACTAGATAACAAGGAGGGTTCATGTAGGAACACCTGGATCTCCCTGGGAAGGGGAAATAGAAAAGATTTTGTGAATGGACTGAGAACAGGTGGGGATGGGAACACGAGCATCAGGTTATGGGGGGTGACAGAGAAAGAGACTGAAGAGAGACTACTGGTAAGTGGGGCATTTTGGGGTCAGGTTAAAATCTGGTGCAAGAGAGTCCCCCAGTAATATAAAAGGATTACCCCATCTAAGACTTCTAGAGAGCCAGGCAGTGGTGGCTCACGCCTTTACTCCCAGCACTTGGGAGGCAGAGCCAGGTGGATCTCTATAAGTTCGAGGCCAACCTAGTCTACAGAGCAATATCCAGGACAGGCACCAAAACTACACAGAGAAACTCTCGAAAAAAAAGACTTCTTGCAATAGCAGATATCTACCCTGAACTGGCCATCTCCTGTGACCAATCTGGTGCTTCAGCCAATTGTTATCAGAGATGCTTAATCCAGCAACTGATAGAAACAGATACAGAGCCACAACCAAACACTAGAGAATCCTGAAGAAGAAGGAGAGAAAGGATTTAGGAGCCAGAGGGGTCAAGGATCCCAGAAGAAAACATAGAATTTACTAATCTGGGCTCATAGAGGTTCACAGAGACTGAACCGACAGCCAGTGAGCCTGCGTGGGACTAACCTAGGCACTCTGCATGTATCTTAGTCCTCTTGTGGGACTCCTAAGTGGGAACAGAGGCTCTCTCTGACTCTTCAACAGGCTTTTGGGAACCCACTCCTCATATTGCATCATCTTTCCCATCCTTAATACATGGGATGGTGCTTAGTCTCGCTGCAACTTGATATGCCATGTTTTGCTGATATTCATGGGAGACCTGTCCTTTTCTAAACAGAAATTGAGGAGGAGTAGATTGGGGGTTGGGAGCCGAGGTGAGATGGGGGCAGCTGGGTGGAAAGGAGGGAGGGAAAACTCCAGGTGGGATATAAAATAAATAATTTATATTTTAAAAGACAGGAAAAAGCTTGAGTGTAAGAAGTAGCAGCTGAGGGAAAATCTCCAATGCAGCAAACAGTAAAGAATCAGCAACAGAATAAACGCTCTTCTTGTGAGGAAACACACACATGCAGCAGACACAGAGAAAAAGAGAGTAGGAGGGTTCTTCAGAGGCCAAAAATCCTGGCTCTTTTACATGGCTGGGATTGTAAAGTCTCTGAAGAGGTTTCTTTTCCTAATTTAAGCTAACTCGGGTTGAAGAAAGACTGGGTGGATCACTGACTCCCGACTGTGGTGTAACAAGGTCCTGATTAGACCCGACCATATTAAGCCTGTCCATAAGCAAAGGACCTATTGGTGGGAGAAGAAGCCCACAATGCTATTGTTTTATGCTTCCAGACTTCTGTCTCAGGTAGTAGGCTGGAAAGAAGTTGCGATTTTGGAAGCTCAATATCAGAAGAGAAATTCTGGAGTTTGTTTGTAAGGAAAAAGCAATGTATTCATGGCCCTTTCCCCAATTTGCCTGTCTAACATACAGTCTGTCTAGTTCCTATTCCTTCAGACATATGTAGACCTATGTTCAGCCAGTGGCCAGCTGGCCAAGATCTTGTGTGAGTCCCACTCTCAGAAATCTCAGATAGTAAGCATAGAAACTATATGCTGAAACTTGAGCAAACCAAATTCCTTTAGACAATACAGCAAAATGTTTGAGTCAGAACCATGTGATATTCAATGAAGTATAAACATGGTTAGACACTCAATCTTCATATAAACATAGACTGATATATCAAGTGGTGTCCCAGAGATTAGACAGAACTAGAAAGTGGTGGGATCAACATACACAGCATGATCAATGAAAAGACCAACATCTTTGCCACCAAAATCAGAAAGAGATGCCTGGGGTAGGCCAGCATTCACCACCAGACTCCTGAAAGAATGCTCAGAAATGTGACTGGTTTCTGTGACTCAGTCTGTAAAGACCTACCCAGAGCTCAGAATAATATATCAATTTGACAACAGCATAGATGTTTTCAATAAAATTATAGTATACAGTTTCACATACCCTAGGAAAGAGGTGCTGATCCAAGAACAGAAATACTGAATGTACAAGCTCAGAAAAGCAAAGGGAAACATACAGAAGAAAGGATTATAATGCATGCTGCTAAATAAAAACAACAAGCCACATGCAAGAGCAGAACCTTCTGATTAAAAACAAATTTCTCGAGCCGGGCGGTGGTGGCACATGCCTTTAATCCCAGCACTCGGGAGGCAGAGCCAGGCGGATCTCTGTGAGTTCGAGGCCAGCCTGGGCTACCAAGTGAGTTCCAGGAAAAGGCACAAAGCTACACAGAGAAACCCTGTCTCGAAAAACCAAAAAAAGAAAAAAGAAAAAAAAAGAAACAGATTTCTCAACAGAAAAATAAAAGAGGATTTGGGAGGGACTCTTTCACGTACCGAAATACTAACTCATATCACTATACGTGGCGGAAATCTCTGTCATTTCTAAAGGAGAAAGGAAAACTTTCTATCATAAAAATAGATCAAAGGAGTTCATGACAACCAAGTCAAATTTGTGTAAGACACTTGAAGGAATTCTTTGGATGGAAGAGAAAGATAAACACATCCATGAGGCTACAGAAAATATGCCAGGCTTGAATGCCTGTTGACATTCTATCATAGATGCTAAGATATAAATCAATAATTGTAATGCATCACATAAATGGTTTCAAGTACAGAAACCACAGTATTATATCAGTAGATGATAGATGAAGTTTGGTAAAACAGAACATACCATTGTGATAAAAGCCTAAAGATACTATGGATATATGGAAATTGCACCAACATAATAAAATCTATATGTGATAACCTGTAGCTAAAATTTTAGTAAAAAGTTAAAGCAATGAAGAAAAGTCAAAAGACAAAGTGTTTATTTTATCCATTCTTATGCAATGTATTCTTTGAAATTTTAGCCAAAGTAATAAAAGAAACATGAGACACAAATAGGGAAGAAAAAAATGAACTTATGCTTATTTCAGATTGCTTGATTATATACATGAAAAACTCTAAAAACTATATCAGAAAATCTGTACACCTGATAAATACTTTCAACAAAATGGTAAATCATATATACCAATAACAGACATGATGAATAAAAATAAAGGAAATAATCTCATTCACAATTGCTTCAAAAATTATTAGAAAAAAATATTATCAATTAACTGACTGGCCACTAAAATGAAAACTTTAAAATACAAATTGAAAATATAATTTCAATTTAAATAATTTCCATACCCACAGATTTGTTAAACTAATGTTCTGCACATCTATGTATTACTAATATAATCTAAAGATTTAATTAAATCTCATCAAAGCTGTAATGCCAATTATTACAAAAGTATATTTTAAAAATCCTAAAATTCATGTGGAAGCATAAAAAGGTTATAACTTAGAAACTAAAAGAATAATGATAGAGGTATCATCATACCTGATTTTATGTTATGTTACAGAACCATAGTAACAAAAAAAGATAATATTGTCACAAAATCAGACACATACATGAATAAAATGCATATAAATCTAGACAACTAAAACTACTAAGTTTTTAAATAGAATCAAAAGAATAAACAACGAACAAAAGACAGCTTCTTGACCAATAGTGTTGACAATCAAAGCTAGAAAATTATCACTCATTCTTCCAAAAAGATCAACTCCTAATGGATCGAAGACCTTGATTTAATTGAAAGTTGAAGGGAAAGCATTTCAGTGTAAATGCATATTTTCAGACTTTCTGAATAAGAAAATAAGGCCAATTATTAACAATGAGATCTCTTGAAATAAAAAAAAATCTTGTACACTGCAAATGAAAATTTTAATGCCTTGAAGTCAGATCCTACAGAATGTGAGAAAATCTGTGCTAGCTATAGTAATGGGATGTTAATATCTAGAATATTTGGGTTTTCAAAGAGCTAAACAATAAGAAAACAATCTACCCAGTCAATAAATAAATTAATTAAATGAATATGCAATTCTCTAAAAATAAAGTTTAAATGATCAATAAACATATAAAACAAGTATTTATCAGTACTAATCTGCAGAGGAAAACATAAAAACTATATTGGAATTCTATCTCAGAACAGTAAGAATGACCTTCATTGAGGATAAATAGGACAACCAAATAAGGGGGATCATCCCTGGGAAAGGCAGATTCTCCTCTCAGTAGTCATTACTTACCTTTAGTTATTGCTTTAGGGGTGGGACCTCATGAAAATGTCTCCTTTCCAAATTAATATGTTCAACGATGTTTTATTGTTCTGCTGTTGTTTATGAAGCGATTTCTAGGAGAGACTTTCACGTCAGACTTGATGGCACTCTGGCTCTTGGAATCTTCCCATCCCTAATTTAGTGACATCTCCTGATTTAGAAGCTGAAATATAGATGTATCTGATGGGGCTTGTTTGGAGTCAGCATACTGTATTGATATATTTGTATACACACAAGCACAGACACTTATGTGTGCATGCATGTAATAATAATAAACAAAGAAAAGAGACTATCGGTGGGAGGCAGTGGTGCACATCTTTAATCCCAGCACTCGGGAGGCCGAGCTAAGTGGATCTCTGTGAGTTCAAGATCAACAAAGAGAAACCCTGTCTCAAAAAAAAAAAGGAAGAAAAGAAAGAAAGAAAAAAAAGAAAAGAAAAAGAGACTATCGACTCTAGATCAGATGGGGAGTATGAGAAGTGAAGGAGGGATGGTATTTGAAAGGAACTAGAAGGAGGAAAGGGGAAAAGGAAGGTAATATAACTCCATTTCAATTTAAAATGTGTTTAAAAATAAACAATACATAAATAAAGAAGGTAATGAAAAATGCTGTGAGGACGTGGACAAAAGGGAAATCTATACACTAGTGATGTGAATGTAAGCTAATCCATCTACTCTGGAGTACAATATGGAGGTTTCTCAATACACTCACATTACATTCCAAGAAAACATGTCATGGTGGAACATGTAAAACAATGTCTACTGCAGCACCATCCTATTCAATATAGTCAAGTAATGTAAACAACTTAATATCCAACAACACACATTGACAAGGAAAATATAACTTATACGTGCACGTATACATACATACATAAATGTATGTTTGAGTGTATGTGTAATGGAATTTTTCAGTTTTTCAGTCATTAAGAAAGGTGAAGTCATGCTGTTTCAAGAAAATGGGTCCAACTAGAGATAATCATATTTTTAAAAATAAGCCTTAGGAAGAAAAATACTGTATGGTTGTGTCTTTTAATACTTTATATAGACACATAAAATGAGGTACATATGTACATAGGACATGACAGTAGAAGGGAAAGTGTCTAGAGAAACAAAAAGAACTGAACTGTTATGCAGAAATCAGAAAGCAGGGAGAAGGAGAGTATGGAGGAAATATATTCAATGTATAGACTAGCTTGTATGAAAATTTAACAATATGAGATGTAAACAATAAATCAGTAAAGCTGTTAACAGATAGACAGAGAAAGATATCATGACATGAGAGTCACTGGAGCATTAGGTACAGCAATCAATAGCATAAATATTCCCAAGGTCAGAGCATGAAACATTTAGAGAAAATAATAATAGATATTGAAAGAAAATTAAGTTGTCATATAATTAGAAGTTATTTGAACACTCTGTTTTCAACAAAGAGCAGATTATCCAGCTATGAAACAAGAGACCATCTGTAAAATAAAACAAAAAAATCATCAGCTCACTTAAGGCCAAATGGAAATTTTTAGAACATTTCATCTGTCTATCTCAGTTCCTAGTATTTATGGAAATTCATGAAATTAACACTGGAAATTTGAGACAACTGCAGTTTAGAGAACCTGTCCTCTTTTTTTTTTTTTTGCTTGATTGTTTGTTGCATTTTTAACAATGTCATAAAGTTTTAAAAAGCACCCACACAATCTTCTAAGCTTTTCAAAATTTATGGAATTTAGCAACTTTCTCCTAAAGAATAAATAATAGGACAAAAAAAGTGAGAAAAGATTACCTAAAACAGAAACTAAAAATGGAACAGAGCAAGTGAACAGGGTGGAGCAAAATCAAACCTAGGAGGGATGCTTATAGTGGAGCCAACCTTATCGATGGAAAGTAAAGATACCAAAGCAGGAGCCTAGAGCAGAACAAGTTACAATACAGTTAAATCAAAGAACAACCCAAAAGTATGAGGGCAGAATAAAAACATAAAAATTAAAACACCAGAAAGAAATGGAAAAAAAAGGCATATATACATATATAACTTTTTAAGAGCATATCCAGATATCCAGATTCTCATCATCTTTTATTAAAGAAGTTCTGGATTCTCTATTGAATTATTTTAACACCCCACCTCACCTCAAAATCAATTGTATGGGGCTGGAATATTACTTAGTTTGTAAAGTGCTTGCTTTGCAGGACTAAAGCTAAGCACTTGATTTTCACCATATCAAGTATCAGTTGTGGTGGTACATAACTAGAATGCCAGCATTTTGGAGGTAGAAGTTGGGGATAAGGAGTTTATTCCTACCCTCTGCCTACATAGTAAGTTCAACGCCACCTGGACTACAGATTCTGACACACACACACACACACACACACACACACACACACACACACACACACACACACTGGTCTATTAAATCAATTGTCTCTAAGTTTTAATACACTTAACTACATTTCTTCTCATTTAATACTACACTATCTGACATAAAGGATTTGTAGTAAGTTTTGAAATCAAGGACTATGAATAGAGCCATGCATGGTGACACAGACCTTTAATCTTAGCATTCAATTGGCAGAGCCAAGCAGATCTCTGAGTTTCAGACCAGCCTGCTCTACTGAATTAGTTCTAGTACAGCCAGGGCTAGACATAGAAACCCTGCATTAAGAAAGGATTATTACATAAATAAATAAGAAGAACTTGTGAATAATTCACATATCTTTGTGTTTTCTAATTGACATAATGTAGGTTCCTTGCAACTACATACATTATATGATATATACAAATACATATATTTGTATAAAGGCATATGGGACTTTGAAAGAGGTTGTTTTGAATCCTTAAACACTTGTGGAGCATTGCTACTTAAACTGTATTAAATGTTTTCATTGATGAACATAGATGTCTTTCTGCGTTTTTAGATATAATTGTGTTCTTTAAATAATGTATTTACATTTTCTAGTCTGTTTATAACATTTCAAAGTTGTTCGGCCGGCAATTGTATGTCATATCCATTAAGTCTTGAAAATGTTTTGTTGTTATTGGGAGGTTCTTAATTACTATTACCTCATTGGTGGTTATAAGTCTATTTAAATTATTTACTTCAACTTGATTTAATTATACTGGGTCATATATATCTATTTTTTTCTATTTCATTTATTTTTCCTGTTTTAGTAGAATATAGACTTTTAAAAATATTACCTTATGGTTCTGTGAATTTTCTTTGTGTCTATTTTAATACTTCCTTTTCATGTATAATTTTATTACCCATTTATAAACCTTCTGAGCTACAATAATGACTGTCCCGGCAAGGTATATCCACTGGTACATTAGTGCCACAAATGTTATGGGAATGTTGAACGACTTTCTGGTTGGAGTTAAGGCCCATTATATAAAACAGACATATTCTTGAGGCCAAGACCTATATCTAGATAAGTCATAGAGTCTATGAGATACCAATTATTATGTTAAATACACAGAGTATTAAATGACTTCTTTCCATTCTCATAGATTAGTGCATCTGTCTGCCTTCATATGTGAATGTTCCTCTTACAGTAGATTTCAATTAGCAGAGATACCACGAACTGCTCAATATGCAGAAATAAGAGATTGCAGAGTATTTATCACTAAATGTGATATCTAAGTCATACCTCTTTTCCTCCTGAATCATGGATATCATCATAGGAATGTGGTCAGAGAGATTGTAAAATCAAAGATTATAGATTACTACAAGGAAACACTTATTGCTCATATGGAATGACAGCAATTGTAACGATATGCAAAAAAGACAAGTGAAAGATTGATCAAGACAATATCTCAGCATAGAGGGCAGAGTGGGCAGAAAGTCCTAACCTCCTACAGTTGCAGAACTACTACTCCTGGGTAGGCCCCTTACCCAAGAATAACTGAAAAATACAAATTATATGAGACTGGGGTAGATAGGGTTGGAGAGGACAGAGGAGAGAGACAGGTTAAGAGAGAACTTGAGAGACATAGTTGATCAAGGGGTGGAAGTGGATCTGAGGAGAGTTGGGGAGTAAAAATATGATCAAAATATATTCTGTAAAATTCAGAAGAATTAATAAAATAGTATTTTTCTCTTTTATTGAAAATAGGATTTTTTTCTCATATAATATATCCTAATTTCATTTTCCATTCCCTTTACTCTCCTCAGTTCCTCCCCACATCCCCTCCTTTCTGACACTACTCCCTTTCTGTCTCTGATTAGAAAAGAACAGGGTTATAATAGCAAAATAAAACAAAATAAAATATAATAAAATAAAATCATCACACTGAAATTGTACAGTGCAAACCAAGAGAAGGCACAAGGTTCAGAGATCCATTAGTTCACACACTCGGTAGTTCCATAAAAGTACTAAACTATAAACTATAGTGTTTACACAAACCACCTGGTGCAGACCCATGCAGGTCCTGTGATTGCTGCTTCAGTCTCTGAGTTCATGTAAGCTTGGCTCAGTTGATTTAGTGGGACTTTTTCTCCTGGTGTCTACCATCTCCCCTGGCTCTTACATTGTTTCTGTCTTCACTTCTTCAGGATGCTCTGAGCTCTAAGTGAAAGGATTTCTTGGTGACATTCCATTTAGAGCTGTGTATTATAAGCTCTATCTATCTATCTATCATCTATCTATCTATCTATCTATCTATCTATCTATCTATCTATCTATCTATCTATC